TAATGCACTTTTAGCTCACATTCATACCAATCAATAATGTAAAATCTTTGAAAAACACCAAAAGGAAGTAAAATGCTATGAGATGTCAAGAACAAACTCAAAATATTGGGTGAATAACATAATAAATCATGTGTAAAAATGAACCCAACAAAAATATAAGCCACCTTTGATGATATAAACTTAAGAGCTTAAATAGAGGGGTTACCACTGAGGTACCTCCCCCGTCACCAATTCGAATCTTGGGAAAAGTGCTCCCCCTCCACAATTGCTGTAAATAAGAAAATAAAAAAACTTAATAGCTTAATCTCAATCTCAAAAAACGTTGAAATTTGCAAACAGTTTAATTTATTGCCCACTCCATGTCAATCTCAAAAATGAAACACAAGTTTTTGAAGTCCCTCTTAAAAACATAGAAAAACTCCTACTAGTTTCACACTTCTCTTCTATTTTTGTAGCCCCATTAGCCTGTTGATGGTCAACATACCAAATGGTTCGGGAAGGCAAGGCATGGTCTAAGCTGATAGCTTTTGTGCCACATAAAGCATTGTAGGTCGAGACCCAGGATGCGTGCGTATACAAGCCAAGGCTAAACTCATCACAAGCACCACTGCCTTTGCCAATTCATCGCTTGGAGGCTCCAGCCTTTGGTCCAACAAATCTTTCAAAAGAAATTCTGCATTGTCCTTCATTGATTTTGATGATTCTGATAGCTGGGATTCTAGCATATCCCCTGGGTGTCTCCCCATCATAACTTCCAGTGCCACCACTCCAAAGCTATATACATCACATTTATCGGTTATCCTCATAGTGAATGCAAGCTCTGCACATCAAGAAAAACAAACCGAGTTGCCTCAAAACATATCTCAGTCACCAAAACATTATCAAATAATGCACAACATTAAATTGGTAAGTTACCTGGTGCCATGTAGCCAAATGAGCCAACAATATGGGTCCAATTGGATGAATTGGCACTAATTAGTCTTGCTGTTCCGAAATCTGAAAGTCGGGGTTCGAAATCTGAATCGAGCAAGACATTGTTGACAGTTACATCACGGTGCACTATTGGTGGAGAGCAGTCATGGTGCAAGTAAGAGAGTGCATGAGCTAGTCCTTGCACAATTTTGAGCCTTGTAGCCCAACCAAGTTCAGTTACCCCTTCAATTCCATACAATGCTTTTCCCAAGCTGCCTCTCTCTAAATATTCATAGAGCAAGAAGACGCAGCCCCTCCTTGAACAGAACCCATATAGCCTTATGATGTTCCGGTGCCGGAGATTTGTCAACGTTCGGATTTCATTCTCGAAACTTTGGAGATTGATTGCTGGAATGTCATTAGAGCCGCACATGTTAAGCCTTTTAACTGCAACAACTTGGCTTGATGGTAGCTCCGCCTTGTATACCTTTCCAAATCCTCCTTTTCCGATGCAATACTTGTCATGAAAATCCTCTATTGCCTTCACAACTTCTCCAAACGTAAATTTTACTTTTTCTTGCAGTATCATTGACTCAAAAGTCTCAAAGTTATGAGAAATTTTGATTTCCTCAATAAAAAGCTTGGGATTCTTACGCAACATAAGAATCATAGCAATTGTAATTGCAACAAATGATAAACCACAAACAGGTAAAA